CTGAAACTCTGATACATAATTACTGAAAACCAGCTAAATATAAAACTTCACAATATCTTCACAAGATATTATGCAACTATTATTTTGAGAGGCAGTTAATAAAAAGGAAAGAGTTTTGTTCTTTGTGAAGAAAAGCAGCACTTAAATAATCCAATTAAGTATGCTTCTATTAGGTACATGGAAATTTGTATAAACAGGAGTAAATATGGATTTAAATAAATGCACACTTTGCTTCTAAGGGTGGTGACTGATTGTTTCTTAAGTATAACAAGTATCTAACAGCATACCAAAAAAAGTGTACTGTGTCCTAAAACTCTGTATTATGAAAGCAACCTTCTGTGATGAATCTGCATTTGATTTTGCATGAATTGTAAGGAAAATTTTGTCTGTTAGAAAACTAACACTGTGATGCTCTGTTCTCATACACTTACCTTTCTTTTTTCTTGAAACTTAATCTGGTAATAACATACCCTGTGAACATTCCTCCAGAATATATTTTCACTACTCTTTTGTGTAAATAGCTCAACATGTATTGCAGTTTAAAGTTTTTACTGTAGACCTGTTGAAACATTGATTCACAGATCAGGTCTCCTTAATGCTCAGCCCTCAGAATTCAAGTTGGATCTTCAAGTGAGATCTGTTCTCTGTCATGTTCCTTGAGAATATGTAATGCTGTAAAGCACTTCTTTTTGGGGAGGAAAACTGCCTGTGAATACTAGTTCTGCTGATTATCAAACTGGCTCACACAGAGATCAAGGAACACCATCTGCTACTTCCTCTAGGTCTGATTCTGAACTGCAAAACAGAAGTAAGTACCAAAAAAATAACGTTTGCTCAAATAGAAGTTAAGGAAAATCAGTAATGTTCTGCACTGTTAGCATCAGAGTAGATTGTTACCCTCTCAGCAGCAGTAGGAAGAAACATCATGTTGTATGCAGTCCAAAAAAATACCCTTTACTTGTTTTATCTCATATTTCACATGCTGTTTCTCTAAACTATCACCTAACCACATGGGTAAGTATATTTCTTACTAATTGTTCTGATTTTATACAAACTTCTACTGTCATACTATTAGGATACTCTTGTTGGTATTTGACGTTATTTCCTTTTAAGCCTGGTAGCAGATATAGCACATCTCTGGCTTCCTTTACTAGAGAGTCACTATGGTATTTCTAAGAATCAGTGGAACTTCTTTGGCAGCAAACCTGAAGTTTAATATGTGCATGTCAAACTAACTATTGTAAGCCAAACTTCTACTGCTTGCACTTCTTCCTATTCAATACTGCTGGTCACAATGTGATATGCCTCAGGAAAGGGATGCCAATTAATTTCTTAACAGATTCTCTTTTCTGTTACTCCATAGATCCTCTTCTAATGCCTTTTATGGAAAAGCAGAACTGCAACTCTTTGAACTATCCACAGAAGAAGAGGTATAAGGAAAGTGTAATTCCTTCTGAAATAACTGACTTTCTCCCAGCTCTAATTATTTCTGATTTTCTACCAATCTCTAGTGGAAAGAGTCCTCCTGTATATGTTAAAATGAGCAAGAAGCATAGTTTTTCACATGCATTCTGTCTTGTTTTCGTATTTCTAATTTTCAGCAGGTTGTCAGGATTGGAAATGTGGAAGATGGCTTAGTTCTGAAAGACGCAGCAAAGAAAACATGTTTCTCTATTACTGAAGAAATAGTAAACCTTCAATCCTACTATCACAGTTGTACACATAAATAGAAATAAAAAAGTTCTGGCACAGGAATGTTGGCTGTCCCAATGTGTCAATACCTTTATGGTTAAGCAGAAATCAAAGTATCATGGTGGTAGCTTTAATGCCTCCCACAGTAGCTTCAAAACATAGTTCTGTCATTAAAGGCAGCATTATCAATAGAGGGATCATCATAAAAATGGGGTCGATCTGTTTGACTGACATGATGAGCTGCTTTGAACTTCTTTACCCCCATCATTCACACTGCTCTGAATCACTATTAGCCTTGAACTTTCAAACACACAGCGCTTTGTGATGGTCTTCTATATACAACATTCTCCCAAGAAAAACACATTTAAAAATCAGTGAGGCATTCTACACATCAATGCTACTGAGTCATCAGACAATAAGGACTGGTTAATGGCTTACTGGTTCTTTCTAAGGAAAGTTATTTAATCTTTTGACCACTTGACCAAACTTTGAGGCCTGCAGAGGATCCTGCTGTAACACCATTTTCTTTGGTTTATTGCTCTCTGGAGCACCTAAAGACCACTTCCCCTTCCAATTTCTGGACTTCACAAGGCAGGGGAAAAAAATACTACCAGAAAGCAAAAAATCCTGCCCCAGAGCATGACAGGCACCCAGACCGCTTTGGCTATATAAATAACCGATGAAAAACAGCTGCTTTACTCACATTATCTTTTACATTTTTCTTCCTGAAAAGAAATCTCCATGAAAGAAGGACAGTGTATTTGGCTTATAATGAGACATCTTTTGGGGTCACACTATAGCTAAAACTTTCTAATAAAGGAGAAAGAAAAAAACATATTCCACAAGAGCTTAATGCGGCATAATGACAAAGTGTCAGTTGGTGTCACCCTTTCTGGTGCTAAACTCTCACTTCTAAGCTCACTGATCAATTTTTGAGTGTGAAGTGTCAGCTTAGCACACGACTAACCACAGTAAAGTTGCAAATATCCTTGCCAGCCATGTTCTCAAGATAAAAAAACAGCTGATGACACAGGACCCCACGAGCATAAAGCACAGGATACAGCTGCTTGGTAGAAGCAGCCTATCTGGATCTGACTGACAGCAGCAGAACAGAGGCAGCTGTGAGGGAATGCATCTCTAAGGGATTAACTTTCCCCTTTATGTGGGAAAAATCTGCTCAGCATGACCAAGATGAGACAGAGGAGCTGAGAGAAAAAACAGACACTAGTGCACTACAAAAGGTCTGTTCTCCTTTTCTAGCAGAAATACTGCAAGAAGCCCACAAGGGAGCCTGCTACATACAACTAGTACAAGGAAAGACTACCAGAATGACAGGGAATATTCCCTAGAATAACAGAAATCTTGTAGTGAATCACATTTTGTCTATTAGCCAAAAAAAGTTCTTTTTAGTGCTCGATCAAGTGCCAGTTTCAGCTCTGTCAAGAAGAGTCTGTCTGGGAAGGTTCACAAAAACCACCAACCCAAACACAAAATACCCTCGTTGAGGCATAGGTTCTTGCTTGCTCTTTTAGAGATGACAGTTGTAAATAGGCTTTTGCACATTTTTGCATGCAACTGATTATTCTTTCCCTGATAATGCCACGAAGATTTTTCCAAATAGGAGAAAAGGGAAAGAGCTGGATAATGACAGGTACTATTCTTGCAGGCTCAGCCAGACATCTAGACACTTTGGAACACATTGGTTCACAAGGGTCCATAAGACAGAGTTTTTGTCTCTGCACCAAAAAAGAAAAAAAGTGCACCACAAAGAAATAAGTAATGTTTGAGCCATTTATACAGGAGACATTGATGTTGCTTCAGTCCCCATGAAGCACTGAGCATCTGTCAGCATTGAGCTGGGATTTTCAGTTGTGTCTGAACACTCAGCTTGTAGAATTAATGAGTTCTTGGAACTCCTCATTTCAGACAGTTTGTGATGTTTCTTTTAGGAGCTGGTTGACCACAGAAGAATCAGTCATTTTCTCTCTTATTTGCTATAGACAGATGGGAATGGCTGTTTCCAAGCCAGTGGTTCAACAGTCTGACAGTAGCTTAGGATGTTCAAAATATAAACTCAGCACAGTGGCTGCATCCAGTGATGTAGCAGAGGGCACAGTGATTCTAACATCAAACACAGAGTTCAATAATGGCTACAGGAGCAGCCCCTGGCTTGCCTGAGGCATTCCCCGTTCAAGTACCAGTCACAGGCTCCTGCACCTGCTGCTGATCTTCTGTGCCATGGCAGCAGCCACCTCTCCATACCTTGAGCTCTCTCTATACCAAAGCTCCTCTTCGTGCTCCCTTTTCTGGCCCACAAAACACACAGAACCCACTCTATGGATGGAGGCTGAGTAGTGCTATTTCTCCTTTTATTTACAAAGGCTTCAATCCAACTGCATAAATAAGGTCAAGTATGGAAAATTAGAGTAACAAAACCATACAGTAAAAACAAGAACGTCTGTAACATGTAGTGGTTAGTTGCAAAGAAGTGAACAAAAGTAAAAACCTCCCTAGAAGTTGTAGAGCTACACAGGTCCTATATTTTTATAGCAGGTGTATTTTCTACCACAGCCTTGATTTTCCCCACATTTGTACATAAACTAAGCCTTGTCTATAAGCCTCAACAAGAGGGGAAGAATGTAGAGGGGAAGATGGGAAAGACCTCACCTGATGAAAGCTGGGAGGCCAGTCTGTGAACTGCAGAAGCAGTCTTCTCCTTTCAAAGAGTTAGATTCTTCTTTCTCTTTCACCCTAACTCCATAAATGGGAGAGAAGGAAAGGAATCCTTCTCCACTGGCAGGGCTCGAGGCCCTGGTGATGGTCCTTATGGAATATGTAACTTCCAGCACCTTGTACCAGCAAACAGGCTGTAGTTAAGGACAGTATCCTTGTTGATGAAGACTGCTTCAGCAGTTCTTACAGAACTCAAAATTAAAATACTTGCCTGAAGAGTCACGGACAGAACATAAAAACCAGCTTATCTGAAAACTCAAGAGATGCAGTGCAACAAATATATGTATTTATTCTTTTTTTTTTTTTAAATAACTGTGGCAGAATAATTGCAAATATCTTTTTTTTTTTTCCCCAAGTATGTACTTTTGCTTATTGATTTGGCATCCAGGGTTTTTTTTCCCATCAGTTCCTCCTAGGATAGATAGAGTGATCAAGTATTCAGAGCTACTAAACCTTATTAGGTGTGTAACACAGTGGACTAATTCAGTCATAAACATAACCCCTAAAGCAAATACACAGGAATACTTTTTTGTTCATAGCTGTATTTGAGAAAAAGCCTCTTTTTTTCTTTTTGGCATCTTGCTCTTTCAGTCAAAGTGGATTGTGTTTTCCATTGTTAGCCTTTCCGAAAAAAAGCAGTTACAAAAATTACTTAATAAAAACATACTTTCATATTTCAATGCAGTTTGTACATCAGTTTCTCAAAGACTATTCTAGAAAAGTCAGCTTGTTCAACCTAATACAAGAAGAAGGTCAAGTATGGAAAATTAGAGTAACAAAACCATACAGTAAAAATAAGAATGTCTGTAACACGTAGTGGTTAGTTGTAAAGAAGTGAACAAAAGTAAAAACCTCCCTAGAAGTTGTAGAGCTACACAGGTCCTATATTTTTATAGCAGGCATATTTTCTACCACAGCCTTGATTTTTATTACTATATATTTTTTAAATAACTTACAATAATAATGAGTTTGCCTACCAGCAGCCAACTCAAAAACATATTGGAAAAAGAAAAAAACCACAGCCACTATTATAGTGGTGGAGAGAAACTCTCCTCAGCAGCCAATTTGTTGTGTCCAGTCCTTTCCCTTCTCAGCAATCCCAATCAGGCAAACTTCTGGGCTATAATCAGCTTATTAGCAATGGGAGCTCTTCAATGCAGGCTTGGGTTTCACTGAAAGGAATGGTGACTATTTCCCCTTTGCAATCTGCTGCAAACTCTGCAGTCCTCATAGCATCAAGCTGCAGCAAAAAAGGAAGAATATTTCATCCAGGTGTGAAATGATTCATAGGCGGCATCTGAGATCTTCAAAGGGTTCTGTCAGCACTGTTCTCAATCAATACTTAAGCCTGAATCACAGCTGAGGGGGCTGTGATTTTATCTCATCTGTCAGATGTGAGAAGCTGCCTGTTTGTTCTTGAGTAAACTTCTTTCACCGTTGCTGACACAATATCGCAACTGACTGCACATTGTTCATCACTTTGAAAGCCACTCAGTGTACAGAAGAATAAACCAAGCCATGCCCCTTGGTAATCCACATAATGTAGCAACACCAGACATTTTGTGCACTAGACTCTGCCCAGAAGCGCTGACCTGAAAGGAAAAGGGAAATGTAAATAGGTAAAGACAATCATTAGAATGATGTAAATCTTCTCAGACAGCTTCGGAGTGCCTACGAAAAGGATCCTGTGAAGCTGAGATTTGTGTTACCACAGATTTTCATCTTGCCACCTTGTGTAACGTGGAGTTGTCTGTGCCCTGATGTAACTTTCTGTCTCCTCCTCGAAATAAGTGGAATTAATCAAATGCAATCGTTTCGTCCCCTCGTGATATTCCAGGAAAACCCAACATGGCCTAAGGAGAATCCTTAGGGTTGTGGTGTTCGATGTCTCTTTGCAGTGCTGCAGAGTGTAAGAGTTGGGATGTTGTATCCATGGGTACCTCTAGATGTTCACACACCAGCCGCCTGCAACGGTGACAAGGACACCTGACTAATGGCCAGTTCCTTGGCATATCATCAGTTTTAAGAGTAAAGTGGAGGTATGGCTTAGGGGGGAAAACACAGACTTCCTACATCTGCTTAATTCTGCATCTATTTGTGCACCTGATTAGTTTTCTCTGCTGCCATGAATTCAACTTAAAGAAAAAAGGAGAAATTAAAATTCAAATGGCAAAGCATGGTCTAAAACGATGTCATAATGGTTCATGTATCCTTCCATAGCTAGTAAAAATGAAAGACTTGATGAGGCTATATTCAACCAGCAGTAGAAGAAAAGCCAAAAATATGATTTTGATGATATTTGTTTTCCCAGCCTGGACTCTAAATTGTTAACTGGTTTCATGAATGCATTTGGCCCAGAGTGATCTTTGTGCAAACCTCAGCCCTGTCTGAAAGGCTGGTGCATAAAGGGACACAGCTGCTGTGAAAACATCTGCTTGGAAACCAGAGTGCTCTGTACTTGTAAGGGGATAGAGGTTTCTTGGAGTTTAGAAAATATTTTTTTCCTACACTGAGTAACACAAGAAATTAAGATACAAAATTACTTATTCTAATTTCCATTTCCTGAGGGAATGAAGGACTGAAAGGGCTTAAGATAAAGACCGATTGTTCTATATTTTTCCAAGAGTCCCAGACTGGAGAGAGGATTTACAATGATACTGTGCTCCATCTGTTGAAACACATAGTGTGCCATTTGGTTTTAACTGTTTGATGCTTGCTCTGTATCCCATTCTGTTTGTTTATTGATCCGGGTAACCTCTGACACAAACCTCAGCGTCTTCCATCTGTCCTTTTCAATGTGATTCTCGGGACTTTCGCTTTCATAGGAAGCCAAGTAAAGTGCTGCAATCAGAAGAAAATACATTATGTTAGGCCTATTGGCATTTTAAAATTTGCTCTCCCTGAAAAGTGGACTGAGTTAAATGAAGCAGGCATGTATTATCCGTCTCCCAGATTAGGGCTCCAGAATCCCATTAGGAAGTATAGCATTGCCTATAATTGTGCCCAGACGATACTAACAAACTGTGTATGAGAACAAAGACTACCCTGAGGGGGCAAAAAACCAACTAGTGGAAACTCAAATGCATGAGTAGAAGAAAGCACTCAAAAGGAAAAAAAATTGAGCCCAGGGACACGTTGTTTTGTAAGTAACCAGTGAAGTCCCTCTTTTCTTTCTCAAGCAGCTCCCTTTAGTGCAAAGTATCCTGAAAATTCATATAAATACATTTCATATGACATTTAGAGGGACCACATCAATTTTTTTCATTCCATTTCAGAGAAAAGGACAATGTTGACTATCACAGACCACATGCATATAAAAAAAAATCTTATCTTCTCTGCCATTTGTAAGGGAGAAGGGTTGTTTACTTGCCAGACAGAGATGTCTCAGGACAAACTGTTTACTGTGAGGAAGCCACAATTTAACGTGGAAAAGATTAATCAGTGGCCAGTGACATCAGACCTGCAGGAAGTCCAGAGCTCCTTACCATCATCACTGAAGACTGGGACAGTAAGCAAATACTGCAGAATCTTCCAATCCCTTTCAAAAGGACACTCCACTTGCTTCCATGTCATAAATTCACTGACTTGTTTTGCCAATTCCCAAAATTTCTGTCAGAATAGAAAACAGAAGAGGTGTTATATGTTGAACTGCACTACTTGCTTTGAACACTTTTTCAAAAAGAGAGAGAGATCTTGGTTTTGAGTCTAAGCCTTGGACTGTCCCCAGGTTTTAAGATAGAATTGAAAATTAGCTGACTCAACAACTCAGTTTCTAACTTTTGCGTTCATGTTTCAAACTGCTCTAACTTCCCACTCTTTCACCTTGGTAAAATTGCTGTTATTTATGAATACAAATATAGCAGATCATGAACTGCACTTAGTTTCTTTTCAAGGAGCTGGTAACACTTCTTATGCCAACCTTTAACTTTGATGATGCTCCTGCTTTATGTTTTGCAATGAAATACTTGGTGGTTTTCACATCAGAAGTCTCTAGATGCTTAATACTGACATTTCAAAATTCAGATGTTTTTTCTTAGTTAGTTAATCTGAAATGCTCTATTTTCTTGCTGGAAATGTATGCCAAAAATAAACCCTCTCCAGGTAGTGTGTTGATGTCATTCATTGATAAACTCTTTCAATTAAAGTTTAACATGCCTCAAGTGCACATGGATTCCTTGGGCAAAAGCACATTCCAGATTATCTCACAGCCGAGTTTTAGAATCAGGATAATTCAGGTCAATGACTACAAGTCAAATGCACTGTAATTTTGTGTGAATGATCCAGGCTTCTTAAAACTGAAAGTACCAGAAAACAAAGCACTGGGTAATCCACACTGTTGGGTAACAAGCATGAAATCAGAGGCACAACTACTGGAAGACAAGAGACTCAGAACTCCTTCACTGCTGCTCTATCATATGTTTCTTCAGAGACAATCTCTGATTTACATGTATGAAAATACTGCCTACATATCCTGTCAAAGAAGGAACTCACCTTTTATATGAGCATTTAAAAAATAAGCTCTAAAATACTACTTTAAATGATTTTGTCATTAAGTATAATAAACTTGTGAATTGAAACATTGAGATGAATTTGAGCACTCGGAAAAAGTTCTGACTCTTTTCTCCACTAAAAATTTATGAATATTGAAAGTTTCAATAGACACTCAATCTTCAAAAAAACTGCTTCTTCCTGACTATGTCCCAGCTCCTCTGAGAAGTAACAGATATACTCAAATTCCAGTCTAATTTTGCTCTTCCCAGAATCCAGCGGAAGTTGGACTGTGGTTTTCTTTTAAAGGGGCTGGCCCTCTATCAATACCCCACCCAGTGCTCTACTTACTTCAAAGTTGACATGACCATTTGGAAGACGATTGGCACAACCCTCATTGAGGAAGTAAATATCTTTGATCAAGAGGCTGAAGAAAGGTATCACGATCTAAGGAAAGAACAACGTTATTCTCAGTCTGGTCCTGAAACAAGACATAATGCTCGACAGAGAAAAATAAAAGGAAGCTGGGTGGTACAAAAGATAAACAAAATACCAAAGGACTAAGATCTCTGTGATATATCTCTCTCTCACCACATAAAAATTTTGCATTCACTACATTTTAAAATACATGATGTCTCTTCACAAAGTCCTCCCTTAAATGGCAAGCTAATCCCTATAATTTTACTTTCATCTCTGTGCCAAACTGCTTCCATTAACTTGAACTCCTCTTGGCGACGTAGCTCCCTCAAGATCACAACCAAAGCACCCGTTAGCACTTCACTGTTTCTCAGCTGTGGCTATGAGACGTGTTTAGAACAACAATATGCCTAACATTTTGTTTCTATGTCATGTCCCTCTCGTTTTCATTTTTTCATTCTTCCTTGCAGATTCCAGAAGATAAATGCTCAGAGGTGCCTACTTCTTACATGTAATCCCTGCAGGTATCTCATAGTGTAGCTTTCCCTCTTGACAGGATGTGCTTGGTAAATGAGGGGAGATGCATTAAAGCACAGCAGGGAAAATTTGGGGCTAGCAGCACAAATGGTTTTTGAACTACAACTCCCTGAGCTCATGCAAGAAATTGAACTTTGGTACTTATTGGCTTGAAATGAAGCATTTCTTGCCAACTGAGCAAATCAGAGTGTTTTTCTTTGGAGAACGCTGGAACATTCTCACATTCTTAAAGTGGTTCTATTTTAATTTTCATCCTACTAAAATTTTCACAGCTACACATCCTTCTTACAACTGAGGATAAAACAAATACCCCTTATCACTATTTTCATGGAAGACTTCACTGCAGTTTTTCAATAGTTGTATAAAACTCATTTTTCTCTGAAAAGAAGTAAACATCTTAAACTTCTGGTACTTTGAATGATATCTGAACAGATCCTTTGGACTCAGAAAAAAATTCCCTGTATAACAACAGTATAGACCAGCTGAGAGCACATGGATTTGCTTCATCTCCCTGGCAGTTCACTCTATGAACAATAAGATCAGATTTATTAAACACAGTCCTAATATGATATGCAGTTGATGAGCAACTGCTTCTAAGTGGAGAGCAGCTAGGAAGCTATTTGGTTCTTTTCCACAAGAACTACAACTGAGATTCTGCATTAATGTATGACAAAATAGAGTTTATTTCTCAAAAGCTAATTCATTTTAAGACTAAAAAAAAAATATCATCTCTATTAATGCATAGTTCACAGTCACCCTTGAATCTGGAAGGTGGATTTTAACCCAGTGCATTGCACAAACACCAGATTAATGTCACCATTCTCACTAAAAAACTCCAGAGTATATTTAAAGTTCATCTGAAGACTATAACACAGGAAGGGAATTCCACAGCTCTGTCTAGATTCGAGTTTTAGAAAACCTTTTCTGAGCAAGTTTTAAAGTATTTTCACCCTAAGCCATAAATCACTTAAAATGTAGCACAAGTAGCAGCTATAAGAACACATTGCTAGCAACCTCATTTCAGCCCTTAGCCTTTCCATCTGTTTTACTGGTTTGTGAGATACAGTTCTCTGTCAAAAAAAAAAAAAGAGCTGAGGCACTATACTTACTTTATTTAAACAATCAAAGCAACCATTTAATGTCTGCAGCTCTGTCAGGACCAAACTGGACTGGCAGCCCTAAGAGGCTTTTTACAACCCCACCAGAGGTAGAGTCGTTTAGAGTCAGAATTCCAGGATAAAAGTTTACCATGCAATGGAACAAGCACATTTCATTTTCCCTCCTGCCAAGTCCTTTGTAAACATACCTTCTCTCTGTTGCTATGAGCTGTCAGGGATCTTTGAGTGGCTCCACGCAGAGCAGTTCGGTAATTATAAAAATTGCTGGAAGGGTCCATCTGATGCTACAAGGCATGAAGGAATTAAAATAATGAGATAGTGGTATCACCACACACAATCCTTTTTTAATTGAGCAGCTATTTTAAAAAAGGGAAAGGTCTTCTGAACAGCACCCCCAGTACAGCTTTTTGGAGGACTGTGGTATCTCTTTATCTGTTCATTTGATCAGAAGAGAACTTTATTTTAAAAAATATTTACTCAGCACAACAAGGGATCCAATACAAGTCAGGGGCAGGAAAGAAAAGGCAGGCTTCATGGACCTCCTTTCTCTCTCAAAAAAGAAGGTAGCTCAAATCTAATTCAAAAGTCAAAACCATGAAACAAAGAAAACAATGGGTTGGCACTAATATTCTGCTCTTCCTAATATGCAGGTTTCTCAGAGCTGATCCATTTGCAATGGCAAAACAAGATCAGACACCTAAAGCTGGTAGTGCCCCCACCTCACTGCTCCACTGCTCACCTTGATGACTGGGATGACTGCATGGCTCACAAAGCATGACCTTAACCAGCAAAGTCCAGCCTACATAAGCGGGTCAAAGGAAATAGGACTGTAATCCTGAGCTGTGCAGCCACCCTTAACGCAAGGAAGGTTATTTTCCACCCAAGGGTGGGGGAAGGGAGCGTGAGGTGGCTACAGTGACCCAGTTTTAATCTGTTGCCAGAACACAAGTCCAATCTCCTGATGATATTAATAAATATTTCATGCTTGTGTCAAGTACAAAACATTACGTTACCTTACTAAAAAATAACCTGAATTAACTAATTGTCATTTACAGCAGGATAATTAGGTAGCTGGCAAATAATCTCTTGGGTAAATCACAAACACGTACAGTGCTGCACCCACATGATCTTTGACCAAGTTCTCTACCATCTGAAGGTAACTGTCAATCAATTAATTCAAGACAAATCCCTCTGAAAGCACAAGGCACCTGCCTTACAGCTCAACTTGATTTTCAAAGGCAGAACTGCATAAGGTCAGTCTACACAATCCCTCTCAAATATATCTCCCTTTAAAGGGCTTACCTACTTTTTTTTCATAATTCTTACGAGGTGGTTTTGGAAATTAAAAAACCTAAACAAACAAACTTCAATTTCTTTCTTCCAAATCAAAAGAGCAGAAGTCAGCTGGACAATTCTTATTATGCCTTCTAGAACTTCCATTAACAGCACAAATATACAAAATTAAACACGCCATAATGAAGCCAAACTTGTATTTTAGAGCAGTTAAAAGTAAAATACTATTAATAGTCCCCTGTCCAAATATTAGCCAAATTTACCTCAAGAATATCAAATTTGGCAGTCTTCACTTTAGCCCAGGTTTTCTTTAATCGAGACACAGGACTCATGTTCATCCCAGCTTGATGTAAGAGAAAAAGATTGTTGGAGTGTTACTGGAAAAAAATCTTTGAAGTGGCTAGGACTAGCAGGTATTTCTAAAGCAAAAGACCTATGAACAATAACAAATATTTAACAGAGCTACTCAAGAAATTGAACTCATTGTTTTCTTTAAATTCCAAAACAACATTGGAAACAAAATCTACACCTCTTACAGAATGAAAGCTCTGAAAAAACGTTATGATATTATTTAAAATGGATTTGATAAAACATGAATATACAGTAGGTAAATTCAAATGAGTGTTTGAAACACTATCTCTTACATGCTTCATTGAAAATGACACATAACTATGACGTTTTTGCATTTCAAATTAAAACAAATATTCCCAATATCTTCCTATTAGATGTAAACAGCTGTGAAATTTTTAAACCACTAGGATATTTATGGTACGAAAGAAATTATGGAAGACATCGATTTTCCATATTACAGGAAAAGTTACCATTTCAATTTAGCCCTGAAGTTGATTTTAAAAAGTGGGGATTTAGATCTCTCAACAGTTGCAATGAAAACTTTGGTTTTGAGTAATTTATACTACATGGCATTAAAACAGTGTTGAGCAATTCTCCACCACTTTCCTTCCCAAGTTCACACTGCTGACCAAGCCAAGCAGTAGACTTTTGTATAAAGCACTATGCTTCCTTTATCCTGATTTAAACGGGGACACAATATCTCAGTACACATACTTACAAATAATAGCCATTAAGGAGTTAAAGTTGCCGATGTTAAAACATTCCCGTGCCACATCGATGAAATATTCTATCACTCTTGCTCTGTGCTTCTTCTTCACATGCTGCAAGAGATGCCATTACAGTGTTATGCTCAGCCAGAAACAGAGCACTCTGACACAACCCCAAAAGAAACAACAGCCCTGTTAAAAGTCTTTTCCACATGTACCACAGCCTCTCACTATTCTTTACATGTAGAGGAACTCACACTATTGTGTTCAAAAACATTCTGGATAGCAAAGACAATCCAGATGCCAGCCAGGTAGAGAGGAAGAAAAAGAGGCAAAGAGGCTCTGCCAAGAAGAAGGATATGAAGAACAGAAGAACAGGGAAGAGGGTCCATTCACAAGGGGTTTTCACAGGAGAGAACTGCAGGCCAGATGCACTCCTGTACCAAGAAGGGCTAACCCAGCATAATATCACCACTCTGCCATGGGAACAAGGCTGAGACACCAGTACAGTACTGAAAACACTGAACTTATTTCCTCTTCAGATGTGTGCTGACTTCATCTAAATATGAAAAAGTACAGAGCTGAGAGAATGAAAAGTCCAAAAGGTACCAATCCTGAAAAGGCTTCATGGTTTTAGATAACTAGACTAAACAAAATCTTTCAGCACAAGTCCTTGCTCACCATACAGATTTCTGTTGCAACCAAGTAACTGAGCCTGTTAAACCATTCCACATAGGCTTCGAGATTCCGAGTCTTCTTTTGATCTCCATAGCAGCTCTACAGACAGAAGAAAAATAGCAACTTTCAGTGCAGTTTTTGTCTTTTCCCTGACAGACCTTTTGGCTTTCTGCCTTGCCATTCCCAAACATTGTCAAACAACCAGGAATAAGTCATTTACCCAAAGTGACAAAAACCTTGGAGGGAAAGCAGCAGTGATAGTATGTTAGCATGTATAAATTCTTTCTGAGCTGTTGGCCCAGTAAAGCACTTGAGCAGGCGCGTGGAATCCATCATGTGCTTTAAGTCCTACCAGGATGCTTTAAGGACTTAGAATAGACTTATGCAAACAATCAAAACCAAGTATCTGCTTAAAGTTTCCTTGAATATGAACACTGTTTCAGTCCTTACTCCTGTTCCACACAGGAATATACAGAAACATAACATTATGCTCTCTGCAAGTGCAGAAAGAAAGCAGAGGCCAGTCCAGTCCATGGGCACATTATGTTCAGCTGTTGATGACAACTTGACATACTGCATCCTAACTTTGGGAGATTAGCTCTACCATTTTGATTGGATTTTCCCTTTCCTGACCAGTGCTATTCTGTAGCATCTTGGAATGATTCCCATACCATAACTCAGGGTTGCCTAAAAAGGGGTAGACAGCAGTTTTAATGACCTCTATCTACAAAATCATTGTCAGAGACCATCTGACTGAACATCAAATTGTAAACTTGTGTCACTCTATTCTGTTTGACAGTTTTAAGGAGGACAGTTAATTCAAGTTTTAACAGACTGACTTTGGCACAGTTCACTTACAGAGCATATGCCAACTTGAAAAACATAAAAATAAAGTCATCTTGCAAATAGCACTCAAGGAGATGACAACTTTATCACGGCCAGTTAAAAACCACTGCATCTTTGCCCTTCATCTCACATAGATCTAGAGCTCACTGTCCCCTTTTTGTGATGCATGCCCTACCTGCAAAGTGCCCCACTTGCCAATTTGCTGCAAAGAGTTCAGTTTACTAAAAGAAAGAACAGATGTTGAAACTGAGTAATGCCAAAGCCAAAGTTAAACTCAGCCTCTCCCGGCTGTAGACCGCAGCAAATGTGGTTTTGTGGGTTTTTTTTTCAAAAAATCAATTTGTTGGCTGAGTTCTGGAGCTCCAGAAAGAAAAAAGCGTTAACATAATGTTTAAGAGGAATACTAAAGCCTTTTCATTATAAAGCTTGATTCTACTGGTCCTCATTTATTGTTGGACCTCACTTCCAGCTCATGGTGCACCTGAGTGAGCTCCATGATGTTAAATGCTGCATTTCAGAGTTGCTCCAGATCTGCTCAAATTACCTTGTCATTATTCAAAGGATCCTTCTGCACAAACGCCTGGATAAATTCTTCTGGTCCAATATAATTGAGTCTCTCCTAAATAAAACACAGAAGCAGCCAAGTCATATCCCATGTTAACCTGCACTTCAAACAGAGGGGAAGGATGAAATCATGCTTGGAAGCATAACAACTCACAAGCTCTATGTGTGTCAGCTGCTGAGCTAACACGTAGGGATCATTGCAGACTGTGATTATGTCCCTCTGGATGGACTGGGGCTTGGTCTTCAGAACCGTGAGGCGATCTGTGGATGTGGCATCAATTTTTGCAAGCACTTCCTCATACTGGCTGACAGCAGCAAGCTTCCGGATCAGGTTCTGGAGGAGCTGCTGTACATTCTTCCGATACATCTGTTATGACATTGAACAATCAGGAGACATTTTCACACTGTGAGAAGACAGTATTAAAGTCTGCATGACACCAAAACAGATGGATGCCGATGCCTGTATTTGTTGTCAACTTATGATAAGCTCTACTATGTGAATTTGTAATTATTAGCATTTCATCAGACCAAAACGAAATCCAGGTGAGGATTTAAACAGTGATTGTCTCACAGATTCAATACTGAATCAGTTAGCTCAAGGAACAGCAGAAAAGATGTGCACAATCCACTTCCTGAAAAGTGTCACCAACCAGTGGAGGAAAAAAACACAAGAAATGAAAACGGTCCATCTTCTCCTGCTTAAGACCACAGGAAAAAACAAGTATGTGGCCATTCAGTGATTAATAAAGGGCCTGCCTCTCTCTGGAGCAAGTCAAGACCAGTTTCACCAAAGTCAGAGCTAAAACTTGCAGTGAATCTGAGAAAAAGGAGAAGATAAAACCATCTCTCTGTTCTCTCACCTTTGCAGGCCTTTTCATGTAGCAGTTTAAGTTAACAGGAGTGACAAAGGAGAGGCAGGACTCAACTCTTAAGCAGACAGATCTGTGTAATCAAGGTGGTTACTCTCCCACATTCCACATACCATCCTAAAGCCATTAAAGCAACACCTTAGTGGCTGCAAAAAGGATCATCCAAAATCTATTGGCAGCACACTACAGTGTGATCAGCTCAAGGCAACAACGTTTCCTTTATTCTGATGAACTTGCCATTTCCCTCCCAAGCTTTTTCCAAAAATGTTTTTTTCAAGGAGCAATATGTTAGAATGGTGAGCCATTTTAGGCAAACTCTTACTGACAGCTCTTAATAGTACCAGAGTTCAATTCAGGAAGTGGAATAAGAAGCAACAAGTAGAAGAGCAATAGAGAACAGGAACAGGAAACATTGATTCTTTTGGATCCTTTAAGGTTATGACTCACACAAATCCAAGCAATCTGTAGAAAAGCAAGGTCAAGGAAATTGTCATTTACTGTTCCAAGCAGTTCACAATAAAACAAGCCAATTTACTGCAGCACTTGCTTTCTCTTTGTCTTTCTGAAGGAAACTTCAAAGTCAAAACCCCCTCAAAGCTAGACTAGAAAAGATTTATAGCTCTCTGTCAGAGTAAGATTGCTCCCTAGCGCTCATTTTGTAGCAGTTTTGTACATCCGTCTTTCCCCTCAGTAGATGATTTCACTGTTTAAACTGTCTGTATAGCCAGAAACTTCACTGTAGGCAGCCCTTCACTCATCTCATTTCACTCTTGCGTCCACCAACTCAACTTCCTCCAGGCTAGACAGCTCTTTCTTTTCGTGCCAATGGGTATTTTTCAAGTGGGTGTGAGTCCTCAATCTTACCACTTTTTCTTGAAGTGAACTTCAGTTTCCTACCTTCCTATTAAGAGTACCTATAAAAAAAGCAACAGTACAGGAGCACTGTACAGGGAAAGAGGCCTCCTGGCACACCCACAGTGAAGGCAAACCTATTGCCTCTTCACTGTCCAAAGCTCCCTGTAGCTATCTTGCAGCAACTCTCAGCTTGCCCATCAAATTCAGTCTCTTCTTCATTTGTATTTCATACTGTATCTCACTCTCTTGTCTCATCCTCTTTCATCCCTCCCCACTTTCACATCAAAATGTATTTCAGCTTTCAAATTCCCTTTAGGTTTGTTCTCTTCCATCCTCGTTTACAGCCTCTCAAGATCTTCCTAGGCCTTTGGCAGCACTCAACTCCTCCCAGCTCTTACCTATGTGCTTGTTAATGTGCTGTTTGCTGCCTCATCCATATCTTTATTCAAAAGCTTACATAAGGAACACCAGCCCCTGAGGAACACTGGAGACACGATGCCATTTAGCAATCGCTCTTTGTGTTTATAGTTCTTCCAAATGCCACTCCAGTGTCCTTTGTAATCCTACTATTATGCCAGCTACACAGGATCTGCTTTATTGAAACCTTGCTAATTGCCTTTCCACTAAGTAAATATAAGCCTTGGCTTTTGGCTGAGTTTGTTTCAGTAGTTAAAAGACAATCATCAGTTAAGCATCAAAATATTTCATAATACCTCCATGGAACTTTCATCTGAAAAGTGGGACTTAGAAATCAAGTGATTTCCTCGTGTGCTTGACCTAGGGGAAGGGATGTGACAGCTCTCCTCTGAGCCCATAGCTGATGTTGTAAGCTCAAGACAATTCTTCCTGGTCTAGTCTTCTTTTAGAAACTTTTCCCCTAACCTGTTATTAACTTTTCCATTGACCTACAGGTCAAAGGCCCAATTCCAACAAAACTAATTCCAACTAAATAGAAGAAATTATCACCATGGATAGGTATTTCTCAGATAAGCAAGCCTTCCAGGCAGAATCACTAAAATGACAAATGCTAACATCCACCAAATTGTGCTGGTCTACACAATATGGAATTATGTTATGGGCTTAGGGATGAGGAGAACCTTGCCCATGCTTTGAAAGAGATCTGTTTATGCTGTGTGGTTTCTTCCTAGGCCTAGGTGCCAGACAGAACTTTTTGCCTACCAACACCTTCACAGTAAGTTAGCTTAACCACCCAGGGCCATACCATGTTACTAACAGCAACAAACCTGCAATATCAAAGCAGTAAAAGGAACACCTTTTTATCCAATAACTTTGTGTACAGAAAACTTACCTCATCCCCACTGGCTATTCTTTGTGCCAACTCCTTTAAGTTCCTCATCATTCTTTCATCTCGGAAATCGTAAGGAAAAGTCTCCGTCCATTCAGTCAATAACTGTAGGATTTTTGGTGCGATTTTTTGCATCCAGTTCTATTTGAAAACAGTAGTGAGGAATGTTACATGTAACAGCAGTGGAGCAAATAGCTAACTCAAAGGAAACAGAATTCCATTCTGTAGGATACTGTGGAGCATAAAGTTATGAACGTCAGTTAAATTTTTAGGCTTAATTTAATTCAGCATTGGATCACAGGCCAGAGACAATAGCCATGGAAGCCAATGAAGAGAGTCTCATTGGATTAACTGACCTGGAAATTAGGCCTCGGGTAGGTGGAAACCTTAGGATGACTCCCGTCATTATCAGAAGTGTCTCAGTGCAAGACATTTATTAGTCTTTCAATAACATATGACTAACTGTCAACAATGAAAAGTGATCTGTTCCACTTCTACCAAGACTTATGCACACACTGCACCACACACTGAGGAAGCTGTTTACAAACAGGGAAGGGCTGGTGGGAGATGTGGTGGTTGGGGGCTGTCTTAGGCATAGTGACCACAAAATGATTTTTGATTCTCAGTGAAGTAAGGAGAAACAAAACCTGTACCTTGGACTTGAGAGGATGGCCTTTGGCTTGTTCAGGACACTGCTTCAGAGAGTGCCTGGGAAACAGTCCTTAAAAACAAAGGGGTCCAGGAAGGCGGGACATACTTTAAGAAGGAAATCTTAAAGGCACAGGAGCAGTCCCTATGGGCTGAAAGATGAGCCGGCGAGGAAGAAGACCAACCTGGCTAAACAGGGAGCTTTTGCTGGAACTCAGGGGAAAAAAAAAAAAGCGTGTACGATGTTTGGAAGAAAGTGCAGGTAACTCAGGAAGAGTACAAGGATGTCGTCAAGTCATGTAGAAAAAAAATTAGAAAGGTGAAAGCTCAGCTAGAACTCAATCTGGCCATTGCTGTGAAAGATAATAAAAAGTGTTTTTATGAATACATTAACAACAAAAGGAGGGCCAAGGAAAATCTCCATCCTTTATTGGATGCAGACGGGAATATTGTCACCAAGGATGGGGAAAAGGCTGAGGTACTGGATGCCTTCTTTGCCTCAGTCTTCAACAGAAATACTGGTTATCCCCACGGCAGCTGCCCCCTGAGCTGGTAGGGAGAGATAGGGAGCAGAATAGACCCCCTGCAATCCAGGAGGAAGGAGTGACCTGCTGTGCCACTTAGACACAAGTCTATGGGACTGGATGGGATTCATCCAAGGGTACTGAGGGAGCTGGTGGAAGAGCTCACTCACCAAGCCACTCTCCATCATTTATTATCAGTCCTGATTCACCAGGGAGGTCCCAGATGACTGGAAGCTGGCCAGTGTGATGCCCATCTGCAAGAAGGGTCAGAAGGAGGATCTGAGGAACTACAGGTTTGTCAGCTTGGCCTTGGAGCTGGGGAAGGTTATGGAACAGATTATCCTGAGTGCGATCACATGGCACATACAAGACAACCTGGGAAACAGGCCCAGCCAGCATGGGTTTAGGAAAAGCAAGTCCTGTCTGACCAACCTGATTTTCTTTTACAACCAGGTGACTCGCTTGGTGGATGAGGGGAAGGCTGTGGTTGTAGCTGATCTGGACTTCAGTAAGCCCTTTATACTGTCCCACAGTATTCTCCTGGAAAAGCTGGCAGTCCATGGCTTAAACAGATGTGCTTTTTGCTGGGTTAAAAACTAGCTGGATGGCTGGGCTCAGAGAGTGGTGGTGAATGTGCCGCATCCAGTTGGTGTCTGGTCACCAGTGGTGTTCTCCAGGGCTCAGTTCTGTGCCCAGTCCTGTTTAGTATCTTTATTGATAATCTGGATGAGGAGATTGAGTGCACTCACAGCCCAGTGGAAAAGGACCTGAGGGTGCTGGTCGACAGCAGCTGAACACGAGCCAGCGTGTGCCCAGGTGGCCAAGGGCAATGGCATCCTGACCTGTATCAAAACCAGTTTGACCAGCAGGACCAGGGCAGTGATTGTCCCCCTGTCCTCAGCACTGGTGAGGCCACACCTCGAGTGCTGTGTCCAGTTCTGGGACCTCACTACAAGAAAGACATTGAGGTGCTGGAGCGAGTCCACAGAAGGGTAATGGAGCTGGTGAAGGGTCTAGAGGATATGTCCTATGAGGAGCAACTGAGGGAGCTGGGGTTGTTTAGTTTGGAGAAAAGGAGGCTCAGGTGAGACCTTATCATTCTCTACAACTACCTGAGAGGAGGTTGTAGCAATGTGGAGGGTGGCCTCTTCTCCCAGGCAATGAGTGACAGGATGAGAGCAAATGGCCTCAAGATGTGCCAGGGGAGGTTCAGGTTGGATGTCAGGAAGAATTTCTTCACAGGGTAGCTAAGCGTTGGAAGGGGCTGCCAACGGAAGTAGTGACTCCAACATCCCTGGATGTGTTCAAGAAATTACTTGATGCAGCACTTAGTGCTCTGGTTTAGTAGACAAGGTGGTGTTTAGTCAAAGGTTGGACTTGCTGATCTTCGAGGTCTTTTCCACACCTAATGATTCTACGATTCTATGAATTATTTAAGTATCTTCTTTTCATTTGTGAAATTTTCTGCTGGGGTGGAGGTGACACACAAACCCCCATGCATTCCCCTGCAAAGGGGTCAGCGATCTAAGCCACTCTGCAAAAAGTGTAGCAAGAAGTGTAGCTTAAGCATGGCAAGACATGTCAGTGTAATTCCCATTGATGTGCTAAACTCATCTTTCCAACATTTTGGCATTATATGTCAAGACATTCAGAACCCTGACAGAAAAGCAACCACTGCAGGGCCAGTACAGGATACTTCATAAACTGGAAGCACTTTTGTTTCTAGCCCATGTATTGGTAAAACGAACAGTGCAGTAGAAGCAACAGTCTTCATGGAGGACAGGCTGAGGAGCGTGGAAATTTCACATGAATGTCAGTGAATAAAGGGACAAATTCTAGTTGCTTGTGTCATATTTTCAATCTGTTTAAACCTGCCAAGGACTCTCTTGAGAAGAACATTTTGCTTTGGGCAGGGTAGAGACATTTGACTGTCACTGACAGGAGTCCCTGAGATCTTACCTTGTCCAGGCCAGGCTCACTTAGTCTCTGCTGCTCAATGCACAGGTGGCAGACTTTGGCCATGAGCTCATATGGATGCATGAACAGACGTGAACTGAGAAGGAAGGTGAAGATGTACGTCCTCTACAAACAAGAGGAAGACAGAGAAAGGGATAAATTACCAGCATTTTGATACTTTCTCAAAATGTGTTCCTAACAAATCTTTTCCTGATGCTTTATTACCTGCAGAAGAAAGCTCTGCATGTGGCTGTGCCAAAAGCGATTACTACAGAAGTAAACACTTAGCACTGCTCCAGAACCAGTGTTATAAGCTTGTGCTGGAGCCAAGTTACGCAAGATTTAACCAAAACAAGGCAGGGCAGAGGTAATTTAGCTCTCCTATTGCACACAGCCTTATTGCAAGCTCATTAGGTGAAATTACTCAGAATAAAATTTCAACTCATCTTCTCTTGCTCTACAGTAAACCTTTGTGAAAGCCATTACCAGATTACATAACTCTTTCTAGCCTGATGATGGAATAACATTCATGCTGCAAGTCCAAGCTACTTAGAACATCAACAGAGAAATCTTGTCTGCTTCCACACTGCAAGTGAAAGTAAATACTCTTCAAAAAAGAACAAAAAAAGGTGCCAGTTGACCAGATTGTTCAGCTGACTCAATTTTGACACACACACCATCTTTACTATGCTGTGTTTGCCTGTCTAACCTCAGTAAACTGCACACCATGAGCTCGTACTTCCTTCAAGAATCCCCAAATACTGCTCATTTCTCATGGTATTGCTTGTCTCCTTGGTGAAAGTGGAGAGAACCACATAGCTTAATTTTACAGAATAAAAGCTAGTAACTCTTTTGAAGTTACAAGAAAAGGCTCTTTTTGTTTTTCTTCAGTTTCCATATGTCATACATCTAACTCATTGTGAGACAGATATTCAAAATATCCATTCCACTCTCCAGATTGCCAGTAGTTAAATATCTATGGCACTCACAAGAAAGATTCTACAATGTTCTGGACTTAGGAACTTGGAATAAATGATAATATTTGACCAACTAATGTCTAAATTGCTAAATGTTTAAAGTTTACATTAAGCATTATTGCACAAGCACTAGCTTAAGCACAGTCCTGTACTGCTGTTTATTCTGACCCAAGTTAAAAAAGACACTGTCTTGGAAACATGAACAGATCTATGATAGAGGCTGAATATAAGCAGGGTTATGTCTTCAGAAGGAGCCTTTCAACGAGCAAAGGTGCAGTTTCATCATCCCTTGGACATAACTAACTACCCCCCTGTCACCTTTTGATATAATTGTTTTTTATCTTCATTTCTAATACTTATATAAAACACCTCAATGCACAGATGTGCCTAGACAGGCCAAAAATTCTCATATGACAAACATCCTACTCTCACATCCAGCCTCTGCTGATTCCAAACAGTGTGGTACTAGTTCAACGTCTCCATTTCAAGATACATGTGGATCTCAGATGAGCAATGGGAAATATGCATTAAAAACTGTTTGGTTTTGAAATAAATACTTTCATCCTGTCATGTTGGTGGTCACGCCTTTCTCCTCACCTTACCTGACAGATTTTTAAGGGTCAGTGGTACATTCAATACATTAAACAGTAAGCCAGTCTAGGCTTATAGTATATAAATTATTATAATAATAAATATTATATTTTTATATACACATATAAATACAATAAATCATAGTAATAAAAATTATAAGTGGCTCGCCAGAGTTGTGCACCTTATAACAAGAGTAATAAAGAATTAGACTTGCTAGATGAGGTGAGTTATTGCATGCTGCACTCACATAAAGCACACGTTTATCCTATTGTTGCTGATCAGTCACTTGATGTGACACATTCTGCTTTTGTTGCACATGTGACAGTTCCCCTTTAGGAGACTCATCAGGCCAAGACATATAGTTAGCTGGGTGTATGGACTTACATCAGGATAGTAATCGACATTGGGTACTAAGTGCTGGATCAGAGCTTCCAGAGACCCGGACAGGAGATTGTTGTCATGATAACAGAGCCCTCCACAGTTGTCCTCTTTTGACTGATACAGGTTCCTGTTGTAGCCACTGCTGTCAAACATAGCTGCAAAGGGAGGTGTCTGTGGCATCTTTCCCTGAGGAGACACACAAGATGAGATAAAGGATAATTCAGAGAAGGTACAACGTAAGAGGCTTTCTGCTCTCCCAGAGGTAGTACTGTGAGAGGAAGGAAACACAGAGTCACACCGTGGGTTCCTTGCACACAGTAGTAAAGATTGTACTGTTTTCAAGCCTGTGCACATTTCTCAGGAAAGGGCCTATCACAATTGCCAGGTGCTTCTTTTATAACTTGTTGTTTATTCATTAAATGACAGGTAAGGCAGCAGGGTTAAGAGTTAGAAGGAGCATACAAGAATCCTGACAGGTTGTGGGAACTCAGACTTTCTACGACGCTTTTGGCATAATGTTCACCAACAACTCTGGGCCAATCATGGAAATAGCTACTCCCTGAGAGCACTCGTCTGATGGGGAAGCATGTCACAGGGTGACACACCCCCAGCCAGTGCAGAGGGAGAAGGACTGAAGTGAAGCCCCAAAGAGGTTATGTGAGAGGAGAGCCTCCTTATGCAATACGACAGCCTCGTAATTGCAATCAAAAACTCCCATTTCCCAACTCCACCCTGGTAAATCACTGCTGGGTTTTTCCAATTACACTGTGACAAGTGTGACCCAGGCTAAGCCTGACGCTTCAGCACATCTACTCCACCTACTCTCTGAGTGGATCTACAGACATCTGGAAAAATATGCCTGTGTATAGTTTGCTTACCAATGTTGTCCACGTTTACCAATGATATAAAAGCCAAGAGCAGACTCAGAGATCTGCTAAATCTTCTCCCCAAATTCTGTGAAAATGTGAAAAATCCAGCCCTATGTTTTCCAGCTTAAGGAAAAATAAAGCAATTACTCATCAGTCTGCATCTCAGTGCCTGTGGAACAAAAATGTCTTACCAAGGAAAAGATCAGTCAGTGCTACAGGCTGTTCAGTCATCCGGAGTATCGGGTGGGCAACAATGGGACTTATGACCACCCAAGATCTCTTTTGGTGATGCAATATGTTAAAAGACCAAAAGATAAAATCTCTCTGATTGCTTGAGTGTTGAGTTACAAACTCCTTCCTTCTCCTTCCCTCTCCCCTGCCTTCTGGGAGTAGCAGTTCTTGTCAGTTTAAGGAACGTATGTTTTATAGCCTCTACAGCGAGCTAAGTTCATGCCCGGTTTTAACCCCAAATATATGCTGTTTTTAACTCTACGACAGCAGTTCCTGGGCTGTGGGTGCTAATGGGCATTCAGGGAGCGGACAGATAAACTGCAAAAAAGTATTGCACATTGCCTCCCATCCTCCCCACAACCACAGGACAAAGGAGGTCAAACTGAGAAGACAATATCCACAGGCTGCTGTGCTCTGTGTTGACAGAGCATGTGCATGTGCATGAGAAAAGCATTAATGCCCCTGAGCCATCATTGTAAGTGCAGATGCTGTTCCTTTTCTCTCCATTGTATCAAATCCTATTCGGCAAAAGGTTCTTTTAAAGCCCCAGACCTCAGCAGACACCAGCCTGTGAAGGCACTCCATTTTGAGAACAACTAGTGATGTGACAGCCTGGAGATAAATAGTGTGCTGCCATCTGTGTGCTCCACCGTTCACAATAAAGCACTTTTCATAGTGAGCCCACTGGAGATGAGAAGCTAATAAGTTATTAGCTAGATTCCTTAGCAAGGACCTGAAGCACCACACAGAGAGCCACAGACTTGCTGCTGCTGGCAGCACGTCTGGACAATGGAGACATTCAAACTAGCATAAGACTGAGTGGTTCAGTAAGTAAACAGTAACAGAAAGCCAAAAATGGTTGCAAAAACAGAGAAAGACAGTGAAGAGAGCCTCCTGGTCTACACGACCTGTGCTGGTCCCACCTTCCGAGGCGCCAAAAGATATCTGCATCAAAATGGAAAGAGTAAGGAGTCTACATGTCTGAAAAGTGACATTAGACACAGTGCAGTTGTTCAACCAGTGATTCAATTCCATTCAGACCAATGAATTGGGAGAAGAGAAGAATAAAGTAAATACACGTGCCACAGGATGCGAGCAGGAAGTACAGGACTGACCCAAACAGGGTTCCTGTAAAAGAGAGTTCAAATTACTAGGCAGGTGAGGTGCAACCCAACCACTATCATATTCTGCAACAATAAAGCATTCTGATGCATAAAGACTCCTGGACTTTCAGGTTCTTTGCAAGGCTAACACAGTTTAGGAAACGAAAATTACTGAGGAGCTGACAGGAACTTTCTGTAGCATTTCCTAGGTTTTCATACTGTGTATGTAAGGCCTTGAACAAACTGCTTTTCAGCCCACAAGCACTGAAAGATGTCCTGTTTTGCACCAAAAATCATGATTATTTTCAGCTACTGTAGTGAAGTTTATTCAGTCAAAATGCAAGTGGTAGGGAACAGAGTGTTAACACTGCCACCCACCAAACATTTGTAGCACTATGACTCCAAAGTAATACTCCACAGGGAAAGTGAGAAAGGCTGGTTTGCATCTGCAAAACATCTTGACATCAATATTGTCACTATAAAAATCCCAAGGACACTAGTTTCAATTCAGATCTCATAATAACCAAAACAGCCTAATTCAGGGTGAGACTAGAATCTGCAGGGGATTTAGCCAGCCGAGCCAGCAATTAGTTGTGATTTCATACAACCCTCACCACCCACACCAGACAGGGAGTGTCTTAATCCATTGGAAAAACCCCCAGTTCTACCACATCACTAACTTCTCCTATGAGAAGAACTGAAGCAGCTGTGAATCCCCAAAGGGCTTTTCTCTGACATATTTTACATATGCGCACTATATATTACTGCCCAATAAAATATAAGGCTTTTTTGAAGGTCATCAAGTGGTGCTTAAATTCTAATAACTAACTCCCAAACCAAATGAGACCTTTCTGAAGTTTGCAGCCCCTAACTCTCTGCGTAACAATTAGTCCCAGGACCACATGGATCCTTCTTCAGACAAAAATAAATTGGAGACACAGCCTCCTAGTGCCTCACCAAGAGGAAAGAAAAAATCATCAGGTCATTTACAGATGTACTGATTCATAACAATAAAATAAAATTGCCAAAAGGTACATATTAGCTCATTTGTTTGCTATCTATTTCTGCAAGCTGCTTGACAGAGAGGGGGCTCAGTTCTGCTTCAGTGAGGCACCAAGTTGTAGTAGCAAAGAGATGTTGTGTGTGCTCTGCTTTCAGACACTGGATTTCACTTCTAAGTGAACAGGACAGGACACGTTTTCCACGCGATGAAAAGGGATGATATCAAAGTGTGACAGAGATAAATATAGCATAGCCAACAGGATGATTCATACAACACATGTGCTTTTCCAGCATGACTCCTCTATTACCTTGACCTTGACCTTGACTCTTCTGCTGTATTTTATATGGAGGTAGAGACACAAAGTAGCATGCTTAGTTCTAATTAGAAGCTTCTTTAGCTAAAGCTTCACCCAAACCCTGCCTTCAGACTAACTTGAGTGGAACTGAAATTTGGTAACAGAGCAGAGAATGGTCCACAAAAATGTGGCATATAGAGCAGAAGTATCTTTGGACCTAAAAATATTGTTGAAAACCAGCAATACAACATGTGTCAAACAGGAATTAGACAAAAAGACAGGAAATATGACTCTAGTGAACAACATCCCAAGAGATAAGAACTAAAACTTTTTAACTGGGTTTTGGAAACATTTGGTTAGTAATCACATGGAAACCCATTTATTTCTCCTTTCCGTTTTTTTTTTTTTTTCTGTGTGCAAAGACCTGACTTGAAGGAAAGAACAATGAAATAATTTCCTGGCTTTACCAGTGATGTACTCCTGTGACAGAGAAAAGTTGGTAATTCTCTGCACTGGAAAGAGGAATACATTTTTTCTGCAGTTAGTATCATTATGGAGAATGTGAGATCTTGGCATTAAGGTCCAAATTCTGACTCTGAGCAGCCTTTGACAAGAAAGAAGTCTCAACCTTCCCAGTAACAACAGTGTAAATCAAAAGTCAGAGCCAAAGATGATGTGCTCAAAACCCTCCCATTTCCTGCAGGAGCCGAGTTCCAGTTTGGCAAAACTAAAGGAATCAGACTTAGCTTCCAGGCTGCCAAGTGGTTGTCTAAACCTCCATGTTTAGTAACAGAAAAAAAAAAAAATCTGTTTTCTACTATAAACAGTGGAAGGTTGCATTGGTTTGTCTTCATTTGTATTAAAGAGCTCAGGCTGCACATCAGGTGTATAAAACAAAACCAACAATGCGAACAGCTTGTATCCTTTATAGACATACCCACTGAGGAGTTCAGTAGTAGACACAAAAGGTGCTTTTAAAGCCACTGCCAAACATTTTCAGCTCCTTTGTTATGTACAGTCATCTCCCACACTATATCCTCAACCAGAAGAATGGCGCCTGAATTTTTTATAAGTCCCAAGGCACACCTCCCCATAGAAGATGAAAACTTCAGAAATGCAATTAAATCCCCTCAGAGTTGCTTCCCTATACAATAAGAAACCCCTACCCACATTTAGCAGATGATTACCATTCACCATTGTTTTTATAGGTGGCTTCATAAAATCGACGTATGGAAAAAAAATTCTGGTGGGGAAAGGACTACCAATACTACCAGCTTGCGCCAACCTGGGAGAGTCTGAGCAAGTCAGAATAAACCTCAGCTATAATATATTGAAAGGAAGTAAGGAAAAGGTGCTTGCCAGCAACATCCAGCTTTCTCTTAAGTGTTTCTGAAGAGTGTGGAGAATTTTTGACAATCACAGAATCACAGAATGGTTTGGGTTGGAAGGGACCTTTAAGTTCATTTATTTCCAACCCCACTGCCACGGGCAGGGAGACCTTCCACTAGACCAGTTTGCTCAATGCCCCATCCAATGCGGACAGGAACACTGTCCAGGATGAGGTATCCACAACTTCTCTGGGAAACCTGTTCCAGTGCCTCCCCATCCTCACAATAAAGAATTTATCCCATTTATCTAAGCTAAATTTCCCTTCTTTCAGTTTGAACCCATTACTTCTTGTCCTA